ACTGACCATCCGAACCACTTTTTGGCACACAGTGCAGCGGCATCGAGCTCATTCACATTGTTGTGCAACCGTCACCACCATTATCTCCAGAACTTTTTCATCTTCCCAAACTGAAACTGTGGAGCTGAATTTTTTAAATGTTCTCATTCAATAGGTTTTTATTGAAAATCTGCTGTGGTTTCTGAGGGGAACAAAGATATGGAAGGCACTGAAGGGATTCCTCCCGGTGGGGTGAAGGCGGAGACACAGCAGAGAATGTAGGGAGCCCCCAAGGGCCAGGGGGGCAGCTGGGCTCACCTGGAGGGGACAGGGGCAGGGAGCTCCCCCCAGGAGGAAAAGGGCCTGCCATCTGCTGGTGGGGACACACACACACACACACACACACACACACACACACACACACGTGCAGGCGTTTCAAAGGGCATGTTTTCCCTGTGTTGGACTGGGCCGGATAACCAGTGTGTGTGGTTCCCAGGCAGCAGCGGGCCGGCGGGCAGGAGGACGCAGGGCTGAAGACAGAGGGGTGGCTCAGCGAAAGCCCCTACTCTCCAAACCACAGAGGGAAGACGGAAATCTGTGAGGCATGTGGGATTTTTCAGAAGGTGCTGGCCCACGGTCCACAGACCCCCTGGCCCAACTTCAGACAAATTACAAGCCTGCCCACAAACACTTTGGTGGGAATCTTGTTTTTCTTCTTTCAGACAGAAAGCAGATTTGCTGACAGATTAGGGAACAGGGGGCTGGGGTGAGGGAGAGGTCACGCAGGAGCACAAGCCTATCAGTGAAGCATTAAATCACCAGTTAATGAGGTGCCGCTACTCCTCAGTGGCCGCTGGGAGAGAGGACAAGTTCAAGAGAAACCTCTGGAACGCTTGTAACGGCTGCGAGGCCTGGCTCCTCCCCTGGCTACTGGGGAGCTGGACTGAGCTCCTGGCCCGTGGCGGGTGGGGGGGGGGGGCCTTCCTTCATCAGCCATTCTCGTGTAATCCCAAGGAAAGCGTGCTGTTATCCTCACTGTACAGCTGGGGAAACTGAGGCATGGAGCAGTGACTTGTCCGAGGTCACTTCCTAGTGAGTACTAGAGAGAGGAGCAGGGTGGAGCCGAGTCGGAATGCAGACCCCGAACTCCCCAGGCAATGCAGCCATTCCTGCTCCCCCAGCGCTCCAGGTGACTTGGAGCTCCTGACCGACTACTAATAAGTCATCTTCACACGGCTCTGTGGAGGCTCAGGATTGCCCACCCCAAATGTGTCTCTTCGCCTTGCCCTGATTATATTTAAGAACAAAAGACTCTGAGAGAAACTTTGACCTTCCCCCTGACTACATAAAAGAAATTTAAAATAAAGGCCTATCCCCGGGACAAGCCATCACCATAGCTAACTCTAACAGTAGACTTCAAGGGTCCTTGCTAAGCCCACTCTTATCAAAGTTCTGTCTACCAAACATTTGCTTTTCCATTTCCATATGAATTGCCTTCCTCCCCTTTGAAGTCCCAACCACCACCTTTGTCTTTAGCTGAGGATGGTATTTAAGGTGAGAGCTTCTGCCATTTTGGAGATTTGCTCAGTTTTCCTGAGTCTCTCCCATGTATACATGTTATAAAGCTTTGTTTAATTTTCTCCTGTTTTTCTGTCTCTTGTCAGTTTAATTTGTAGCCCAGCCAGAAGGACCTAGAGTGGGTAGAGGAAATGTCTTCCCTAGCAGCCGCTTCTCATGGGTTACTGGTTTGGCTTGCTCAACTGTATACCGTTGGAACAACAGATATGCCTGCATTCATTTCACAGAGCAGGAAACTGAGGCCTGAGGCTGTTTGTTTGTGTTATAGGCAGAAATGTGCCCCCACCCCAAAATTCATATGTTGAAGTCCTAACCTTTAGAACCTCAGAATGTGACTGCATGTGGAAGCAGGGTCTTTAAAGGTGTAATTAAGTTAAAATGAGGGAGCTGGGATGTCATCTAACTCATGTTAGACTCTACTCACGTTAGACTCTAGTCTAACATGACGGGGGTCCTTATAAGAAGGGGTGAGGACAGACATATGTAGAGGGAAGACCATGTGAGGATACAGGGAGAAGATGGCCGTCCACGTACCAATGAGAGAGGCCTCAGGGGAAATCCTGCCGACACCCTGATCTTGGACTTCTGGCCTCTGGAACTGTGAGAGAATAAACTTCTGTCGTCTAAGCCCCGAGTCGTGGTGTTTGTTAGAGCAGCCCAAGCTGACTAATACACCTTGCTCTCAGTTCACACTGATGTGAGTGGAGAAGGCAGGTCTGGCTTCTCCCTACGATCCTTGATCCAGGGTAAGGGCGCCTGGATCCCTTCCTCATAGGTCACAGGGAGTTTGAATGAGGTGGTACAGCGGACAATGCTTTGAGCAAGCAATTGCTACTGGGTGGGGTACTATTATTTTAATCACTGTAAAATATACCTATACATGCAAATGTGTGGTGCAGTGTAGGAGAGAGGTTGGGAGCAAAGGGATCAGCTAGACCTCGGTTTGAATCCTGACTGCTGCGTGAGCTTGGACAAGCTGCTTAACCTGTCTGTGTCTAGCTCTCCTCATTTGTAGTGGTGATAATCAGCGTATCACAATCTTGGTGTTATTGTACATAATAAGTAAAATTACATAGGTTCCACTAGTACGGAGCCTGGCATAAAGTCAGTGCATAAAATAAATGCTTAATGGTATCATCCTCAACCACAGGCAAGGGGTGTGAGATCTTAGAGGCCCGAGGCCAGCTGGACCTGCTGATCCCCCTTTCTCAGACCTGGCATGGAGGTTTGAGGGGCCATGGGTCACGAAAGACCAGCTGCACAGGGACAGGGTCCTGGCCTTGGGCAGGGCCTCCCACATGTGGGGACAGCGTGGCTGAGCTCACACAGGAAGCTCTCCATTCCTGAACAGACTGGCAGAGAAAAGGAAAACAAGAGCACAACTTTAAACTAACGCTCTTGCCGACTCAGACACAGTGACGGTACGTTTAAACGTCAGTTTGCTCCGGGCTTAGAGATTTGAACAGGTTTGCTGTTGGTTTTGTGGCGGTTTCTTTCAGTTCTTGCTCCGAACCTTCTCGTGGAGGAGGTTTGGATGGAGGGAGCCGCTGCACCTGGCAGTCCTCAGATCCCGCGGGCTTCCAGAGCACCCTTCCCTGGGTCGGACTGAGGGGCAGTGGGGGTACAGGGCAACCTTTGTGGCCCCCATTTACAAGTGGCAGAAGAGCAGCCAGCACAGCTCCAGCAGTGTAGACGGTCGCCCAGTGGTGTAATTTCTCTGCTTGGGAGGGTCCCACAGCAGACTCACGGGGCCCCACACCTCTGCCTCTCAGCTCGTGGCGGTGGCCATAGTCCAGGGTGAACTGGGGAGCCCTTGATGATTCACCTTTCCCCTTCCTCTCTCAGTGGGGGATGAGAGGGTGGGGGTGGGAGGTACCTGGGAACTGGGGCAACTGTCACCTTGCCTTCCACTGGGACAGCCACCCTATTCTCTTCCACACTCAGGCCCTGCTGCAGAACCCAGCTCCTGAGATTTTTGTTTTTGTTTTTGTTTGTTTTCTTTCAGGGGCCCACTTTTCCCTCCCTAAACTCCAGCTTCCATTCCTACCACACCCAGCCTGTCTGCCAGCCTCAGTTCCAGTTTACATATCAATTCCAAGTTCAGGCACTTTCCCATGAGGGTCTTGAGGGAGTGGCCAGTGGAACTGGGTCTTCCCCAGTCAGGACACCCTCACCTACTTGGAAAAGCACAGCTAGAAGTGCGGTGAGGCGGGGGTGGGAGATGGCGTGGACAGGCAGAGGCCAGCGGTGGGGGCAGGGGACCCCAGGATCGCAGAGCATGGGGGTCTGGAAAGCTGGACCATGAGCTTTACCCAATGATCAGAAGTGGCGGGTGAATCACACCGTCCCAGCTTCTGATGCCTCTTCCAGCCTGGGGCCTTGGTCTGCACCCAGGCGGGAGGAACACTGCTGGGCTCCTCATCTCCATGAACCCCGTCCAGGTGTCCAGTGCCCTTGTGTTCCCAGGAGCCCAGCCCACAGGAGAGGACAGCAGCCAAGGTCTCCTCCCCGAGGAGCACATCCATCCACTTCTGAACAGCGAGGGTCAGTCCAGGCGGCTCTGCAGTTTAGGATTCTGGTGAGGGCTGTGGGCAGGGGCGGGAGCTACCCGGGCCAGCCCCGGTGTCCAGCAGGTTCTCGTCCTCTTTCACTGGGTAGGGGAGGCTGGACACTGGGTGGGGAGATGCTGGGGACCAGGACTCTCTTATTCCCAGAAATCCTACCACCTCCCAGGACAGGCTCCCCCCTTCCTCTCCCCCTGGGGCAGTGTCCCCCAATCCAGCCCACCCCCAAAAGGGTGGACCCAGTGTCCTGGAGAAGGCCCAGGCCACCAAGAATTCAATGGACTCACCCGTGGGGGTGAAGGGAGCCTGGGCCCTGGGTCTGCCCAGGCCTGGGAGTGGCTGGAGTTTGGCTCCTTCCAGCCCTGAAAGCTCCTTCCACGTCTCCTTCCCCGCTCCCCGCGGACTCACCTGTCCACGCAACAACCCCCTTGTCTGCTAAGCCCCCTGCCCACTTCTCTCTCCTTACAGGACACAAGGGGTGGATGTGTCCCTGGGGTCCAGCCCATCCTTTCAGAGCGACATCCCTTATGAACCCGGAGGCCAACATCAGCTGCAGATGCAGACTCCCCAACCCTGGGGCAGGCTTCTGGCTGCGGAGCAGACCACATGGCCCGCAGCCCCATGTTGCTGAGTCAGGGAGAGGCACAGCCCAGAGGGAGCAGACTCCTCAGTCCCCCGCCCCCTCCCCCATCACTTCTCCTTGTCCTTGTCCCTCCCCCCATCGCTTCTTCCCTCCCATTCTCCCCTAAGTGGCCGGGGTGGGGGGGGGGGCGGGGGTCCGGGGTCACAGGAAGTGCCCTGGCACCACCAGGACCTTGCTCTGGGGCCCGAGGCAGTCACTCCCCCTTGGGGCACGTGTAAAATTAAAGAGTTGGACTTCATGACTTAAAGGCCCCTTCCAGCCCTAATGTTGCCCCAGTGGGTGCCTCACCGTGCCCTCCTCCACCCTTCCCGGTCCCCTCAGCTCTGCCCTGGAGAGTCCTGCCAGCCTCCTGCCCAGGGCCTGGGGTGCCCCCACCCAGCTGCCCCGCGGTCAGGAAGGGGCAGAGAAATCACGCAGGCCGGCTCAGCTCTCCACTTTTATGACCTTTATTCCCCACGGCCTCCTGTCCGGGGAGGGGTGGGAGGGGACCGCCCTCTCCAGGCCAGATGCGGGCTGCCCGGCTAGAAGAAGTTGACCACCCTGCGTAGGGACTGGACACGAGCGCTGGGGGCCTCCCAGTCGGAGAAGCTGCGGAAGTCGCCGCGCTCCACCAGGTACATGCGGCCGCGGTAGCTGGGCTCCTCGTACAGGACCCACCTAGGGCCAGGAGGCCAGAAGGTCAGACGGCCGGTGCTGAGCAGCGCAGCCCCCCTACCCCACCCCGGCCGCAGACCCACTTCACTCTCGGGAGCACCGGTGGCACTCAGCCCTGTTCTTGGCTTATTTCCTCCCCCCGCTGCCTGCCTTCCTTTCACTGCCCTGTGCGTTAGGGTCAGTGCTGAGTGCCCGAGGGTGCACAGGAAAAGCTCACATTTTAAACTGACCAGTCCAGAATGTTCATCGCAAGGAATGATTCCAGGATGCAGGTCTGCCCTTATCGCGCCCCCCCCCCCCGCCCCCCACTCTTTCCTGCTCCTGGAAGGGGCTGTTTGCATAGACGCCTGGCAAGGAGCTGGCACAGAATGGGGACCAATTACTATTGAGTCATTCAGCGCATGCTCTCGAGTTCACGTGTGTGCCTGCACTTTTCCAGGCCCTGGAGAGTCCAAAGTAAGTCTACTCACATGTTGCCCCTCCATCACCCAGGGGCAGCAGGTGAAGGATGCCCCGGTAATCAAGAAGCTTTCTCTCTAGATGGGGCGTTGGGGAGGATAAAGGGGGACCAGAAGAGTCGTCTCCCCCTAGGGAGGGAGTGTGGTCCAGGGAGAGACCTTCAGACAGCTGGGGAGCATCACTGTTCCAACCCTGTCATTCCACCACCCCTGAGACAAGCATGGAGCTGTGAGGAGGGACCAGAAAAAGGTCCACGGGGCTCACTGCCCACTGGAGGCGGGGTCTGGAGCCTGTGCTGAGGGGCTAGAGGCGTGGGGGAGGGGGCACACAGGCTGGCCTCTCTGGAGCAGGACTCAAAGCCAATTCGTCCACACCCACTGTTGGTCAAGGCCGCCCAGCCTCTCCGCCTCACTGACCTCTCTTTCACTTTCACCACTGATGGAAAACAGCTTTTCTCCATCAGTCGTGGAGGGGGCTGGTGGCCTTGGGCAGCAAAGTGGGCTCAGTCTCTGGGACCACACACCCAGAGCCAGTTGCTGGGGTCCCTCTGGCTCAGGCCGAGGGTTGCTCTGACCCTGTCTTTGCCCTGAACCCCTACCTTGTCCCTACCAGTTCTTGCCCACTGGCCCCAAAGCACTCTGCAGCTGAGGGAGCTTTTTCCCCATGGGACGTGGACTCAGAATCTATGATCCCATCCAGCTCAGGGCCCAGAGAAGGGGAGTGATTGCCCAAAGCCACATAGCCCACTGAGTCTACCCCCACTCTCCGCTCTCCTGCCACTGTGGGTCCTCTCTTCCCCATCCTAACCCCACATCTGGTATGTGGCAGTCTGTGTGAGGGTCAGGGCTCAGGCATGAAGAGAGAGAGGCTGAGCATGTGAACGAGCAGGCAGCGCCTGCCGGGAGCTCAGGGCGGGCCTGGTTCAGCCCAGCCTTCCCACGTCCACAGAGCACCCATGCCAACAGCACACCCTCGCGCCCTCTCCCCTCCTACCTCCCATGCTTATGGCTCCTCCCATGTCCCCAACCCGCTCCCCATGCCCACGGCCTTCCCGTGCCCACAACCGTGGTGAGGCTTGAGGCACCTCTAAGGGAGTGGGCCCATCCCTCCCTCTCTCACAGAGCTGGGAAATACCCCAAGCAGTGTCATGGGCTGCCCCAGAGCATGTGTGGGTGTCCCCAAAAGGAAGAAGAGGAAGGGACTGGCTGAGCCTCCACTGGAAAGCTTCATCCTCTCCTGGCCCCTGCTTCCTGCTGCCACTGTTGGGGAGAAGGCAGAAAGAGGAAGGGAGGAGGGGCATGGCTTGGCCACATCAGCATGAGGACCGCGCCCTTGAGGGGGGCCAGGAGGGAGAATGCAATGCTGGCACATTTCCCTCCAAGTCCCTCCAGGACATGGACCTGTGGGGACAGGTCATTCCTGAGCTGACATGGGCCCCAGAAGAAAATGACTCTAGGCATATGGGAGGTGGTGGGGAGACCCGCCGTGTGCCCCCCCACCCAGACTCCAGGAAAGGCCTTGAAGGAGGTCCTGTCTGGACCAGGGGAATCTGTCTGGCAGCTTTTCTTTGCCAAGGGCTTGAAATTTGTTTTACAAGTTAAAGTCACAGGAGGCAAAGGATGAGGGCTCCACGGGGAGTCGAGCAGAACCCCTGGTCTAAATGTGGGGTCCACCACGGGCAGCCTCCACGTGGGCCCCTTACCCCTCTGAGCCTCTGTCTCCTCATAGGTAAGGTGCACCCCATACAGTCAAAACTCTTAGCTCCTGCCTTTCCCTTTGCTTCTAAACAAGCCCTGGAGGCCCCTGGGGTGGGTGCAGGGGGATTCCATTAAGGGTCTCAGGACACCTTCCATGCAAAGGTATGACTGTGGCCTCCTGAGACACAATCTAGCCAGGGGTTTTCCAGGTAAATTCTTGTTTTGGGATTCTACCCCCAGATTCCTAGGTGCCATCAACTTAGGGCAAACATGGGATTTCAGAAAGGCGGGGCAAGGCAGATGTGAGAAAAAGAACCCTGGAGAGAACCAGAGGGACAGAGAAATGGCAGGAAGTGAGCAGAGTCCCCCTGGGACTCTGGAAAGGAAGAGAGACCCCTGGGTGAGGGGGCTGGGTGCAGCAGCCAACTTCAGGCCACCCAGGGGAAGGTGGGGTACAGCTCTTCCTCTGGTTCAGCCACTGTGTTCATTCAGTCCCTCCCATGACTGCTCGCTTGCATCCCTCGTGACATTCCCAGATCCTGTACCTCAGACACACAGACAGCAAATGGACCTCTTAGCTGCTGCAACAGGAGCTGGGCTCCTGAAACCCACGTGGGGGCTCTCGTCCTGGGGGGATGGGGCTGAGGTCTGGGGAGCCTCTAGATCAGGGACAATCTGACTTGAAGCAAAGGCCTGGCTGCACTCCCAGCTGTGCCGCTCACAAGGGCTCAGGTAACTTTCTGAGCCTCAGCTTGCTCCTCTGTAAAATGGGGCAACACGCTCCACCCAGCCAGATGGACGGGAGGATGAAGAGATGGCCAACTTGAGTGTGCACAGGGGCTATGAAGCTGTGCACAACGGATGTGCATAATGGGCGTAGAGACTGCCCTTAGCTGACGGAAGGAATCGAGTGTGCAGGAGCCAAGAGAAGCATAGGCAAGCGCAGTGCTGCTGGCTCTGTTGGAGCAGTGCAGACCAGCCCCTCCGGCCCAGGCACCTGGTTTTCTTGAACTGGGGGACCTTGAGCCTTAGCCCTCAGGCACTCCGTCCATCAGAAGTGAGCCACTGAGATTGATGTCCCTCCCCCTGGGAGGCCAGCATGGCGGGGGCTTGCCCGCTTGGCAGGAAAGGTCCAGCTCAGGGGTCGGCTTTGCTGGGTAAGTAAGGGGTGGGCAGGGCCGCCCTCCTCAGAGCAGGCGTCCTCCGGCTCAAGAAAATCCAGTGCAGTCCATGAGATCAGGCCAGTCACAGAGCTGCTGGGCTGCAGTGTCCTCCCACCTCTGCTGCGGCCCTGGAGCGCATCTCCCTCAGGGCTGCCTCTGGGGCCCTGCGTCCCCTCCATGGGCTTCCTGGGCCATGGAGGAAGACAGCCGACTGCTTGAATGGGGCAGAGGAGGCAGCTGAGGGAGGGAAACGGCCTCTGGGGCAGGGGCCACGCTGCCCTCTCTGGGGTCTGACCCATCCCAGCAGCCTCCCCACACCCGGCTGTGCGGGGCCCCACTGGGCCGCTACTCACGCTCCGTCCCCGTACACCTTGATGGCGTTGACACAGTTCTTGGCCCAGCCCCGACTCTGCAGGAAGGGGCAGTCGTCCTGGAACTCCAGGCACTGGCCAGTGAAGTTGCAGCCCTCGAAGATTTCTAGGCGGAAGTGCTCCCCGTGCTGCAGGCGAGACGAGGAAGGAAAGGAGGCAAATGGCCTGAGTCTCCCGCCCAGTCCGCAGAAGCCCGTGTGCCTGTGCGCAGGAACTCAGGTCACCCAGGGCACTGGGCCCCCACCCCCACACAAGCACTTCCACCCAGCACCTCTGCTTGTTCCTGCACATGAGACTTGGTTGGATACAAGGGTTCTATTACTTTAAAAAGCTCCAGAGTTTCTGAAATGGTGCAATCTCCTCTTTCTTCAACTGAAAAATCCAAGGGTCAGAGAGGGCCAAAATTCCCCAGGGGACAGCGGCTGTGCTCAGACCAGGGCCAGCCCTGGGTCACTGGGCTCCCTCCAGGACCCCTACCCAGCCACACCAACACATTCCTCTGTCCTTCACCGCCACCCCCCCGCCCCAGGCCTACAAGCCATGGCCAAGACTTCAAATGATAATATTTTACAAACTGTAATAGAACCTTTTATTAAAATATGAAGCCAAAAATCTAAAACAATACAGATCTCGTTTGCTGAAATGCCAGCTGGCTCACTGGGATGAGGACACGTATCTCCCTATAAGATTCCCCGTGTTTCCAAAAGACAGCGTAGGGCCAGCTCCCAACTGGCCCTGGCACCGGCAGGGGTTGGGTCTGCGTCACAGCTGGCCCCAAGGATAGTTCGTACGAGAACAGCATCTGAAAGATACCTAGGATATGTTTCATGTTCATAGCATTATGCAAGATCCAGGGCCAGTCACGTTAATTCCTTTTTCCAAATGTCCGTGGCCTGGTGAAGATACTAAGAAAGCATTCTTACAATCTGAGATGCCAAAGCCCAGCTGCTTTTGCACCCCGTGTAGAAAAGAGAGGGGGCCCCACACAGGAGGCCTCTTCCCTGGGGTCCCTCAGATGTTCACCAGCACTCCTTGGCCCTGCGTCCAGGGTGGTCCTTCTGCAGACCCTTGGCTGAGCCTCTGCTGGGAGCTGCTCACTCTGCTTCAGAAATCAGCCATTTCCCTCCTGGCCGTCTGGGTCTCAGAGAATGTCAGGGAGGGCTTGTGACTTGGGAGAATCCTAAGGAATGGGAATGCCAGCTCTCAACTCCCACCATGGGGCAACTAGACACACATTGTCCTCTGCCATGGAGAGCGACACCCCTCATTTGCTCTCCCTACACATACTGGGCCACCCTGTGAGATGGCAGCCCCCCAGATTCCCAAGGACTGGCGGCGACCTAAGCGTCCATATCACAGCATCGAAGTCTGAAAAGCACTACAAGACAAGCTGCACGGCGGGGACACCAGGCCCCCAGCAGCCTTTCTTTCGCTAAATGCTCCCCCATCCGGTTGCAAATCCAAACTTCTAATATTTCCAACAGCGTTTTAAGTGGAAAAATCAGCAAGACTTTGGGATCAGAAGTTGAAAGTGGTTTCCTGATCCATGCCTGAAAACGTAGGCGTGAAAATTTCCAGGGGCTCTCCAGTTTGGTCCCCACGCCATCCCACACCCACAGGAGGGGCTGGGTCCGTGGGGAGACACCTCTCTGTCTTACAGATCCCACGGCCTCATCAGATCTGACAGCTGGGAGGGCCAGGCTCCCTGATTACCTGCGCCTTGTCTGATCAGGACTGACCCTCGGTCTCTCCAGCAGAAAGCCCCCAGGTGGAGCGGCCCACTCACCATTCCCACAGGCCGACAGGAGCCCATGTGGTCATTATGGCCGTTCCAGCGGAAGAAGTCAGGGTAGTCGCCGTGCTCCAGGACAAACTGCTGGCCCCGGAAGTCGGGGTGGTCGAAGCAGACCCAGGCTCCGCTCTCCACGTGGATGGAGTTGACCCGGTTCATAAAGCCTCGGTCCTGGAAGTTGTCACAGTCCCCAAAGACCTCCAGCTTCCGCCCCGTGAAGTGGGTGCCCTCATAGAGAGTGATCTAGAAAGGTGGGTGAGAGGGTGTGGGGTCAGGGACTTCTCTCCCTCAGTTTTGGGAGGGAAGCCTGAGGCCCAACACCCTCCATTGAACCCCGACTCCCAGGCCACTGAAGCCCAGACCTGCTGCTCGCGCAGTAGGTGCCTAACACTGTTTGTTGACTGGGTGAAAGAATGCACGGATGGTGGACTGAGGTCAGCCATCCTGAGGGCTGGAGGTTGAGCAGATTTCAGAAGATGTATGGGGACAAGGAGGACAAAGTCCCCTTTGTCCAGGCGCCCATTTGAAAACAGGCTCTTTTCATGCTCCCACTGCATTTTAAAACTCGATTTTTGTTTAATGTTAAAACATTAACATCCAAGGAAATGTTACATTTCACCCACAACCCCACCATCATAACCCAATATTTAGTTTTCAGGAAGCCAGGTTCCTGGGATTGGGCCCCTTAACGGGAGAGACTGAGTCCACCAGAGCCAAGTCAGGGCCTGGCTCGGGATTAATGGCTTAAAAGAGGGCCTTTTCAGTGTAACCCGTCCCCTTGTTTATTAGGCCACTCCTTTGGGTGGCAGGCATGTGTCAGATGTGGAGCTTTACCAACCCAGCAGTCAGTTCAGAAGCTGTCCTATGGTGATGCAGCAGTGACAGGTTCTCCTTGGCCCCAAACTAAACAACATAAACCACATCAACCCCCAAACTCACTTTCTGCCATGGAATCCACAATTCCAACCATTCCATCACTCTTTGGGTTTCAAGAATTGTGCTCCTGGAACAACTCTGGCTAAGTACAAATAACGTTGCCTGGGGCCTCGTCATTTGTGTTGTCACCGATGGCAGAGCTGCCCTCTTGGCCCCTTGGAGTGGAATCTTTGAGAGCCCAGCTCCCCCTTCCCTCTGCCTAGACCAAGGCACCCCTCGGGGGCCCAGGGGAGGGCGTGGGGACCAGGACGGCCCGGAGCCCTGGGGTTGTTTGTCACTGCAGCACAGCCTAGCTCATGCAGACTGAGCTAGGCTTGAATGTAGCCCCTAGAGACCAAAAGGGTCTCAGATCAGCTAGGAGAGGGAGCTAGAGACAGAGAGAAATTCCTAACTGTCATGCTTCCTGCACAACACAGGTCTGGTGGGGAGCAACCCCCGCCGCCCCCTCCCTGGGGATATTCAGGGAGAACTCGTCCCCCACAGAATTTGAAGGGCCCTCAAATCTCAACATTTGGCAGAGAACCAGCCCCAAGCGCCCCTGAGGAGATCCTGAGGAAGGAGAAGCCCCCTTTAGACCAGCCTCAGGAAAAGAAGAGACAGCAGTGGGCCCAGGGCTGCAGGACAAGTCCAGGCTCTCCCACCCCAACCAAGGCAGCCCTCAGGCCTGATCACCCTCCCTGCTCCCGACCCTAGGGGCGGGGCTGGGGCCCCAGAGCCAGTGCTGGACGGCGTGGGAGGGGCAGGCCGGAGAGGCTCCTGGCCAGGGCCAGGCCGCCGCGTTTTGTTAGAGAAATTTAGCCAGCTTTGCTCCCGTGGGAAGGATGCAAAGGGCGAAGGAAGGGCTCATTGAGTAAGAGTTTGTCGCCCCTCCTGCCCCCGCCTCAATCCCGAGTACCAAGAGCAAGTGGGAGCCGGGTCTCGGGACCTGGCTCCAGGGCCCAGGCGGTTACCTTCAGGGCCGGGGCTGGGAGAGCGCACTTACCTTCCCCGAGCGCTGCGCCATGGTGCGCCCGCCCCGCGCGGCCCGGGGCCGTATATAGCGGGCGGGCCCTGCTGGGTCAGCGCCGCCCGGGACAAAAGATCTGCTGGGCCGGCGGCAGTGCTGTGGGCGCGCTAAGCCCGCGGGGGCCGCCCGCCTGGGAACCCGGCCCCCGGCCCCCGGCCCCTGGCCCTCGAGCCCCGCGTGTGCCCCGCGGTCTCCACCCGCGCGCGCGCACACACATGCACACACACACACACGCACACACACACACATACTCACACACTCACACGCACGGAGCTCCCGCAGCGCGCCCCTCCCGCTCCCCCATTCCGCAAGAGCCTTCGCTGACCTCCCCGGCTCCCGTTCTCAGCTCTCACCTGGTCACCCAAACTCACATGGTTACCGAGTTCTGTCTCGGGACCAAGGATGGAGCCGTGCTCCCGGGGGCAAAAAAGACAGCCCTCGACCGACCTCCTGCCTGCGCTCTGGTCTTAGGTCCCGGCCCCAAGTTCAACTTTCTGCGGTAACACCCCCGGCCCGCCCGCACATCGCTAAGCCCCAGTGGAGGCCCTTGCCTCCTGCCCCTGCTCCTGCCGTCCTGCTCCCGGGAATGCCTGTGTGTCCCTTTCCCATCATTGCTCACCCTTGATCCCCATCTGTCACCTGCCCCCACCCGAGCTGCCTGAGCTGGTGGGTCACAGTGCTCTGCACCCAGACCACCCTGGACGACAAGGGCCGGTGTACAGCAACATGCCGCTCCACTGCGGCGTGAGACTTCCTGAGGGCACAGAAATTCTTGGCACGGAACAGAGGCTCAGAGATTGTTTGTGGAATGAACTGAGTCAACACTGAGCCCACAAGATGTGCAGCCCCCAGATTGCTGGGGAGATGAGACTGTACACCCGCGGTTAGCTGGGCTGAGGGCCAGCTCTGAGATCAAAGGAGAGAGCGCTGTCTGCGCATGGGTGCCCCAGGGGCTTCAAGAGGAGGGGCCAGTGAGGAGGAGGGGGCAGTGGGGCCTGGGGGATGGGGTGGAGGGGGCTGGGGGGTGGTCTGAGCTGCCTCTCTACTCCAAGGAAAGTATATTTTTATCACCACATCACAAATGAAACGCTTCAGGCCTAAGAAAAGGAGGTCATGCAGTACTTGGGGCACAGGGGTGACCTTGCCCCTGCTGTGGGAGGCCGTCCAAGGAGGACAGGACATGCACTGCAACCTGCACCTCACCCTGGCACCCAAGGACCTCCCAGGGGGCCTGGCCTGGCTGTTGCCCACAGGCATCCACACTGGCCAAGCCCCGCATTCCAGTGTTTGCCTCTGGACAGGGGCCCTGCTGGGGAAATATAATTAAAAACAAAATCCCCCAACCTGTAAAGTCTGTCCACAAAGGTAGAAGAGGAAGAAAATGGTTGCATGGCCAGAATGCCTCTGCAGTCTAAGAGATTGCCAGGAAGAGACAGCTCGGCCTCTGCATAGCCAGGCAGGTGCGCTCGCTCGTTACCTACATGTTCTAAAGATAAAATTGCTAATTTCCTCATCTTTCTGCCCAAGATAGGCTTTGCAATTCAGAGTAAGGTGACAGCTGAAGTTAAGCCCTTCTCCTCCCAGGAACCTGGGAGATGGGGCGTCATCTTTGACGATCATGTTTCAAAGAGATGGCCCCCAGTCCTGGAGGAAACATTCCTGGTTGCTAGATTGGCAAGAGGCTTATTTAACCATTAAAAAGATGTACACACCATCACAATCCCTGACTTCAAAACATACTACAAAGCTACAGTGATCAAAACAGCATGGTACTGGTACAAAAACCGGTGCACAGATCAATGGAACAGAATTGAAAGCCCAGAAATAAAACCACACATCTATGGACAGCTAATCTTCGACAAAGGAGCTGAGGGCATACAATGGAGAAAAGAAAGTCTCTTCAACAAATGGTGCTGGGAAAACTGGAAAGCCACATGTAAAAGAATGAAAATTGACCACTCTTTTTCACCATTCACCAAAATAAACTCAAAATGGATCAAAGACCTAAAGCTGAGACCTGAAACCATAAGGCTTCTAGAAGAAAATGTAGTCAGTATACTCTTTGACATCAGTATTAAAAGGATCTTTTCGGACAACATGTCTTCTCAGACAAGGGAAACAATAGAAAGAATAAACAAATGGGACTTCATCAGACTAAAGAGCTTCTTCAAGGCAAGGGAAAACAGGATTGAAACAAAAAAACAACCCACTAACTGGGAAAAAATATTTGCAAGTAATACATCCAACAAGGGCTTAATGTCCATAATATATAAAGAACTCACACAACTCAACAACAAAAAATTAAACAACCCGATCAAAAAATGGGCAGGAGATATGAACAGATATTTCTCCAAAGAAGATATGCGGATGGCCAATAAGCACATGAAAAGATGCTCATCATCGCTGATCATCAGGGAAACGCAAATCAAAACTACACTACGATATCACCTTACACCCATTAGAATGACAAAAATAACTAAAACAAATAGTAACAAATGTTGGAGAGGTTGCGGAGAAAAAGCAACCCTCATACACTGCTGGTGGGAATGCAAACTGGTGCAGCCACTATGGAAAACAGTACGGAGATTCCTCAAAAAATTAAAAATAGAACTACCATATGATCCAGCTATTCCACTACTGGGTATCTATCCAAAGAGCTTGAAGTCAGCAATTCCAAAAGTCCTATGCACCACAATGTTTATTGCAGCATTATTTACAACAGCCAAGACATGGAAGCAACCTAAGTGCCCATCAACAGATGATTGGATAAAGAAGATGTGGTATATATATACAATGGAATACTACTCAGCCGTAAAAAAGAACAAAATCGTCCCATTTGCAATGGATGGACCTTGAGGGAATTATGTTAAGTGAAATAAGCCAGGTAGAGAAGGACAATCTCTGTATGACTCCACTCATATGAGGACTTTAAACCTGTGGACAAAGAGAACAGATTAGTGGCTACCAGGGGAAAGGGGGGTGGGGGTGGGCACAAAGGGTGAAGGGGTGCACCTACAAGTCGACTGACAGACAATAATGTACAACTGAAATTTCACAAGATTGTAACCTATCATTAACTCAATAAAAAATTTAAAAAAGTAAAAAAAGATGTACACACATGTGAGAAGGACAGAGAAAGAAATTCTGCAAGAAAAAGGAGAGGGGGAATTCTCTTCCCTTATTTTCAACTGGAAAATTAAGCCTCAATTTTTTTTACACACAGACTTTATTTTTTAGAGCAGTTTTAGGTTCGTAGCAAAATTGAGCTAAAAGCACAGAAAGTTCCCATATATCCCCCCACACCTACCCCACCACATCAACATCCCCCAGCAGCACCAGCGTGGTACATTTGTTAACAGTTGATGAATCAACACTGACACATCGTTATCACCTGAAGTCCATGGTTTACAGTGGGGTTCACTCTTCGTGGTGTACTTTTATGGGTTTTTGACAAATGTATAATGACATGTATCCATCATTACAGTATCATACAGTGTGGTTTCTCTGCCCTAAAAATCCTCTGTGCTCCGTCATCCCTCCCTGGCGGCCACTGATCCTTTTACTGTCTCCACAGTGTTGCCTTTCCAAAATGTCATCCAGTGGAATCATACAGTGTGCAGCCTTTTCAGATAGGCTTCTTTCACTTAGTAATGTGCGTTTAGGTTTCCTCCATGTCTTTTCATGGCTTGACAGCTCATTTCTCTTTAGTGCTGAATTATATGCCACTATCTGGGTGTTTATCCATCTATTGACTGAAGGACATCTTTGTTGCTTCCAAGTTTTGACAATTATGAATAAAACTGCTATAAACATCCGTATGCAGGTTTTTGCGTGGACGTAAGTTTTCAACTCCTTGGGGTAAATACCAGCGAGAGATTCTGGATCGCATGGTAAAAGTATATTTAGTTTTATAAGAAATCCCCAGACTGTCTTCCAGAGTGGCTGCACCATTTTGCACCCCCACCAGCAATGGATGAGAGTTCCTGTTGCTCCACATCCTCGCCAGCATCTGGCGTTGTCAGTATTTTGGATTTTTGCCATTCTAATAGGTGCGTAGTGGCGTCTGGTTGTTTTAAGAACATCTTCTTTTTAACTTGTATTTCCCTTACAGCACCAGGGCTAGAGCCCACAGACAATGCACACAGGTGATGTGGCCAGAACTCAAAACAGAAGCAGGGATTTGGGGTGTTTTCTGCAAAATATACATGAAAAACAACCAGCCGCAAGCCTCTTTAAAAGAATCGGTAAAAATGAACGGGTGGATAAGATTTCTGCCACTTTAACCTCGATTCCCATTCCCAATGCAACATCTCAATTCTCACCCAGGGTTTTCACTATAAGGAGGTCAGGTCTGCCAAGATTCATACGACATATTTGTGCCCAAGAAGAACCCCTGCCCCAAATAGCTACACACATATGCATATGCAAGGCTGGCAAAACCTCAGCATTAGAGAGTCATTTCTTTGAGTGAAGCATCTTCAATACTGCACTGTTAAACTGTGCCTTGAAATAGGGGAGATCCTAAGCCATATAGGACTGCTAATTGGGGATAGAATGCTCGGAGAATTGGCTCAGAATAGATGTGGTGACAGTGGTACAAGGAGCAGGGCTGAGGACGCTGTCTTCATCTTAAGAAAATCTCAATAACACGCAACCCTAAGCTGCTAGCAGCCGCTCAGTGTGAGAGTTGCAAAGCGTGCGCTGACCCAGGGCCCAACTGCCTGCTTCCCCCCTCCCACCTCTTGTTTGTGTCAAGCCTCTCCCCTTTTTGGGTAATTTAGAGCATAGAGAAGCCTAAAGAATAATAGAAGGAACAGCCACACCCATTCCCCAGGTTTGTCAGATCTTAACATGCGCCATGTTTCTGTCAGGTTGATCTTTTCCTTTAAAGAAAGAAGTCACTGGAAGCCTTCTCTCTCTAGAAATACTCACTATCCTGATTTTTGTGTTTATTATTTCTTTGAATGTTTTCATATCCTAACTGCCTATTTGCATACCAAGAAATAATATACATTTTTATGGTGTGGCAACATTGTATATATACATATATACATGTGTGTATATATATGTATATATATCCTCCTTCAATTTGTCATTTCGTTGTTAGTGACCTCAGTTTCTGAAAAGGTGAATGAATAACTTGGTAAATTTCCTCAGAAAACTAAGTAAAATCTTCCATCTATTTAGCCAGTAAATCGCATGCTAGGGAAGTTCGGTGTGTATTAAAACCACTCAAAGTACACTATGTGTTAACGGGTGAAACCGTCCGACAGTTCCTCATCGTGTGTTGCAGGACACCAAGTATCGCTGGGCCCTGCTTATGGAAGGCCTGCCCCTCCTCCATCATTCTGACACGTGGAAACACCCTCAAATTTCCAAGTGCCCCCAAGGGCCAAGTCTGCCGCCTTTGGGGTCCACACCTCTATGTTACATTGCTGGGTGAAGCCTGAGCTCACCTTCAACTTCTCGGGATGCAGCAGGAGCTTTCCAGGGGGCCTACTGACCAGCAGATGCACCCATGGCAGATTTGTCCAGCTGCTCAACATCTGTCCGTATGTGCCTTGTCCATTTGGGTGTGCTGCTCTGCTGTAACTGCTTGTTTATATCCTTTGCCCATTTTTTCTGAGTCTTTCCTTATTGATGTGTGTGTGTCTGTTAACCTGTTATCTGTTCCTTTGTGTTGTGTGTGCAGTGTAAAGACCTTTTCCCAGTTTGCATGTAGGACCACTAGCCTGGAACCCATTTTTGTTAGTTTCTTGGATTGGGAGTTTCCAGAGCACTGAATAGTCTTGGGGCACCATGCTCCCCTCCAAACTGAGGCCAGGCGCTTCTGACTCTCAAGGGGGGGCCATGTGCAGCATCCTCTCTCTGGAGCGCAGCCTACTGGCCAAACATGGAATGACATTGAAGTCGGTGTCTGCCCTCAGGTGTGTGCTTATCACGCAGCAAGATGGATAAAGACAGGTCGAGGTGGCCATGCTCCTACCCTCGGGAATTACAACCCAGCTGTGAAAGCAGTCAGGAAATAATGAAAAAGCATTTAGAAGTGAGGGTTAAGGGGGATAGCACAAACAGCAAATGCTCCCCCTGCCCCACCCCGCCAAATCAAAGGACATAGATTATCGAAGACTTTACCCCTCTGGACAGGAGATGTTTGAGGTGCAACATGGTGGAAGGTCAGAATCTGGGTAGGGGGCTCAGAAGAGGAGGCATTAGGGGGACAGTGGAGGTGGGACCACAGGAATGTGTCATTAGAATACAACAGACCCTTTCATGAAGTCCTGGCAGCTTGGGGTCACTTCTGCTCTCTTACAATTCTCTAACTTCTGTGACACCAACACTCTGGGTTTCCCAGCTTCCTCTGTTCAGTCTCCTTTCCAGGTTCCTCTCCCTCCTGCATGTTGAAGTCCCTGGACCGGGCCCTTCAGTTCCCCGCCCCCTGCAATCCTACCCACCATGTGTCTTCGAGCACCCCACATCCCTGCCTCCCCCACACCCTCCTGAACCGCAGAGCCACGTGTCCAATGAGATGGACACTGCCACCTCCAACCCAACTGCTCCTCCCTCACATGTGTGCTTCCTTGTGGTCACCGTCATCCTCCTGCTCAATTACTCGGCCAAAGTCAGGTGTCATAGCTGCCTCCAGCCCCATCACACGCTCCCCAGGTTCTGTCCATCCCCCCACCTCTGTCTCCAATCCCACCGCCCGGTTCCAGTTGCCATCGCTGCTCGCCTCAACCTGGCAGGAGCCTCCCACCGGGGTTCCTGGCATCTGTCCTGGTCCCTCTGGCCCATCCTCCACTCAACAGCCACACTGGCCTCTCTCTAAATTATGAGTCACTTCAGGCAGACAGTAAACACCAGTGGATCTGCCTCCCAGTTTAAGAAACAAAAATCACAGACGGTAGGGGCTTCCGGGTCCCTCCCTGATCTGAGTAATCTTTTACAACCTAAAGCCTGATCCCGTCTTCCTGCCTAAAGTCCCTGCGAGGCTCCCATTGTCCTTCATGTAAAGTAGGGTCTGGACACACAGGTCCCTGAGGGCAAGCCCCTCCTTAAATTCTGTGCCCGGGGAACCCACTCACCTCATCAGAGGCCCGGTCCTGGCGTGAAGTCCAAGCTCCGGAACTGGGCTCCCCGGGGCTAATGATCTGGTCCCCATTTAGCTCTCCAGCCTCATCCAGGTTCATCTGTAAACACTCCTCTCCCTACGCTCTCTGCTTCAGCTTGGAACACCCCTGAGCGGGGCTCACCCAGAGGCACCCCCAGGTCTCAGCTTGGGTGTCGCTCCCTAGTGCCCAGGACTCTGCCAGTGATCTGTCCCTCATCTCTGTAGGGTCAGCCGCAGAGGGTAGGGGATGGGTCCCTCTCCATCACTGTATCCTCAGTGCTGAGCACAGAGGAGCTGCTGGTAGAGAGGAGGTGATCGAAGGATCTCACAAGTGGTGGGACCAGCCTGGTGGCCTAGCTGCTAAGTTCAGGGTGCTCCACTTTGGCCGCCGGGTTCCATTCCCTCGGGTTCCAGGCACAGATCTACACGGCTCTGTTAGCAGCCATGCTGTGCTGGCAGCCCACATACTAAAAAATAGAGGAAGACTGGCACGGATGTTAGCTCAGGGCAAATCTTCCTCAGCCAAAAAAGAAAAATAAAAACGATTTCACAAATGAATACAAAGTTGGAAACACTCGCATACAAAAGCTCAGAGATGGGAGAGCTGTGACGGGTGAGACGTGGATGTGCGGGGCCCAAGCACGTCCATCCCCTAGTACTGCTCCCTAATTACTGCCGCAGCTGTTAGTCTCGCTTGATCCTCGAGTTCACTGAGGTCCCGCAGGAAAAGGGTAACGGGCGGGAAGCGGCTCCCGCTTGACGGGGCTGGCAGGGCGGGGAGTGAGCTGTGGCGCCTGGAGAGCCCCTCCTGCGCCCAGGGGCCCGGCAGACGCTTCTCCAGCCGTGCGCTTCCTCCCCGGGCTGCGCTCCCCAGGCGCGGCCCTCCCCGTCCTCACCGCTGCCTCCCGGCACCAGGACAGGGGGGTCCATCCTGGTCGGCTCGGGGAGCACATTGGGGGAATGAACGAACGAGCGCAGGAAGGCGGACAGGGCTTGAGGCCGGTGGCAGCGGATGCTCCGCGCGGCGCGCGCTGGTCCCAAACTGAGCCTCGAAAGCGCGGGCGGCGGGAGGCCGCGCCCTCGGCGGAACCCGCGCCCTTCCGAGGGGGCTGTCTGCGGGCGCAGGGGCGAGACACCCCCGGTCCGCTCCGCGTCAGCCCCCCGCCCGGGTCCCCGCTCTGCGCCGTCCATGCCCACTTCCAGGAGGCGAGAACACGGCTCCCTCCCAGAAGAGGGGCCCGAGGTCTAGGGGGCGGGGGTGTGGGATTAGGGTGGGGCGGGAAAGGGTGGATGTGCAAAGGCTGCACGCCCGCGTCCTGGAAGAAGCCCCTGCCCGGGTCTCCCGCCCACCTGGGCAGCGCCGCCTGGGCGAGGGGAAGACGCGGAAGCCTGGACCCTAGTGGCGGGTACGAGAACTACACACCCTCCCTTCCCGGGGCCGTTGCCGGGGGCCGCTAGAGGGAGCACTTAGAATGCTAATAAATTCAATGCAGACGGTAATAATGAGTCTCGCAGCATGTATATAGCCAGGCACCAAGTAGGACTTAACATATATTATGTCATTTAATTCTCTCGACAACCTTAAGAGGTAATATTATCACCCCATTCTATGGATGTGGAAAGTGAGGCACAGACTGAATCAGTAACTTGCCCAAGGTCACACACACAGCAAGTAAGCAGTCGAGCTGGGATCTGAATGCAGAATCGGTGCTCTTAACCCCTAAGATATTATAATTCTTCACATTCTTTCAGCATTTGCAATTCTACCAGGAAGCCCAGCTTGTCTCTTCCTGCTCTTGTTCTGGTTTCCCGTCTTTACCTCAGCCCTCAACATTCCCGGTCTAATGACTCAGAGGGGAAACACATGCCCAGCCTTTAAAAAATGGCCCTGCAAATGCAAATTAAAAGCACAATGAGACCTCACCATTCATCCATTAGAATGGTGGAAGTTTAAAATACTGACGCTAACAAGTGTTGGTGAGGATGCAGGACGCAGGGCGCAGGGTAGTGGACTCTCATGAGCTCCAGGTGGGAACAAAAAATGGCACAGCCACACTTAGCTTGCGACGTGATGCTCACCCAAAAGAAATGAAAACTTAGGCCAAAGGCTTGCACAGGACGCTCAGAGCAGCTTTTTTCTGACACCCCCAACCTGGAGGCAGTCCAGGCCTCCTTCAGCAGTTGAATGACAAATGAACGGTAGTTCACCCGTACAGTGGAACACCACCCAGCGGTAAAAAGGAACAAACTACTGAAACACACGACAGCACAGAAAACTCTCAAAAACCTCACGCTGAGCGAGGGAGGCAGACGCAAAGACTGAAACTTGGGGGACTCTGTTTATCTGAAACTCCAGCCAGCACAGAATGAGCCTCCAGGGACGACGGCAGGTCGGTGGGTGCCTGGGTCCGGAGGTGGCAGTGGCAGCAATGGGGATTTTAAGACAGGACACAAGGGAACTGTTTAGGGTGATGGAAAATTTCTATATTTTGATTATAGCGGTAGATACCCAAGTGCATAAATTTGTCAAAACTCATCAAAATGGGTGCATTTTACTGTGTGTAAATTACACCTTAAAAATTAACAGTCCTTTAAAAATTCCCCTTTCACCCTAACGCTGCAAACCTCACTTTTTTATTTTTGCTCCTCACCTGCCACATAAATGGTCCACTCCCTCTGGCTCCAGTAACCCCAGTCAAGGAAACTGTCCTCTCCAGGAGCACCTGCCCTTTGGACCGAGGGGTGGTGCTGGGTCCCCACGATGAGCCCCCTCCACGCAGCAGGGACACCAGTGATTCTCTGGACACTTACACCTGCAGCCCCCCTCCCACCCTGGAAAGTTGATGTTGTCACCCACCTCTCCCTTCTACAGCCTCTCCCTAGGAGGAATCAGCCAGGCCCGCCAGCCCCCATGCTGAGGACTCCAGCCCAGACTGCTCTGCTGGGCTCCACAGCTGATGACCTGACTGCCTCCTGGATGTCTCTGTGCACCCAGATGCCATCAGCCTCTCAAGGTGGAGATGTTCAAAGACTGACCCACCTTCCTCCTCTGAAACCTGCTCCACGCCCCACCCAGGGTCTCAAGTCAGGAACCTGGGGCCACCCTGACCTCTCCTTCTCCCTTGCATCTCCTGTCCCTGAGACCTACTCACTGAGCCCCTCAAGAGTTCAGGTTCCTTCTCTTTCCTTTGCTCCCAGGGCCCAGACCCTGCCACACCTGGCAGCCTGCCTGTTCTGCTCCCCGCCTGGCCTCCTCCCCTCCCAGCTCGGCCCCTTCCCGGGCCAGAGGGATATCTCCAGAGCTGAAGCCTTCCTGGCGGCCCCTGCGCTCAGGAGGAGGAGGCCAAGGCAGCCAGCTGGCACAGAGGGAGGCTGGACCAGTGTGGGAATGAGAGCGCCTCTAGTCTGGTCCTCAACCACAAAACCAGAGTGAGGCTGAACCAGCCTCTCCAGGCCGTGCAGATGAAACATGTGGAGTGGGAGCTGGGGACCAGGGCCCACAGCAGGAAGAAGGGGGCACAGGCCCCGGGGACCGACTCCAAATCAAGTTAGGACACCTGCTAAGTTGATGGGAGGAAAGAAAGGACACAGTGGACCTAGGATTTGGGCATTTTGACTTCATGAAATTGCAAAGTGTTCCATCCACAGCACGCGTCCTCAGCCCTAGGGTTCTCACTTGGTGCAATTAGAATCAGCCTGTAGATGGTGCCTGCGGGTGACAAAGTAAGTTCGCGCACACTCTCTTCTCACAGCATGAGGACAGTTGTTACTATTTCCATTCTATAGAGGGAGAAAAGAGTGCAGAGAAGTTACACGACTAAGTCTGTGCTGCTTGTAAATGATGAAATTGTTTTCATTATTCTTCATTTTTAGGTACTTAAAACATATTTTTACCCCAGAGGCAGAAATCATAAAAGAAAGATTGACAACTACATAAAAATGCCAGGAAAAAATATAAAGACAAACAATAAACTAAGAAAATATTTGCATCATTTTGGGTAAGCAACCATCAAGAGACTTATATAGACATTTTTCCAAATAAATATTTTAAAAGATAAGGATGACCATGGAAAATGTCCTAGAGACATGCATATATAATTCACAAAATAATAAATACAGTCAAAAACACGTGAAAAAGTTTAACTTGACTAATAACTAAAGAAATGTAAATTAAAACAATGATTATCAGTTTTCACCGGTCAAAGTGACAGTTTAAAAAATTATTCTCATTCATTGTGGGGCAGGCCGGGTGGCATAGCAGTCAAGTTCACGTGCTCTGCTTTGACAGCCCTGGGCTTCACGGGTTCAGATCCTGGGTGTGGACACACACACCACTCATCAAGCTGTGCTGTGGCGGTGTCCTACATAGAGGAAGATTGGCAGATGTTAGCTCAGGGACAATCTTCCTCTCACACACACACACACACACACACAGAAAATTATTCTCATTCATTGTTAGTGGAAATGTACATTGCAATCTTCCTGGAAGGCAATTTATTTTATATATCAATACTCATAGAAACGTGCCTGTAGACTGACCCAAAAATCCACTCCTGGGAATTTATCTTAAGGGAATAATTGAGTTGGTAGGATGAGTGACAACGAGGTTCCACAGAGCCTCTGGTTCAGTCAGTGCATGCAGCAGACAACCAGAAACAGTGCTCTGGTGTCCAGAGAAGGGAGCTCAGAGATGGATGGGGTGGTCAGAGAAGGCTTCCTGGAGGAGGAGGAGCTTGGACAGGGCAGGATTCACAGAGGCAGTAGAAATGGAGGACATTCCAGGCTGGGAACAATGCACCTCGCCTGGGGGGCTTCTGGTACAGCGAGGAGCCAGTTTGAGCTGGTGGACGGAGGAGCTCTGGGGAAACTGAATCTGCCATAGGGAGGTTCTCTTGTAGATGGAGGGGCGTGTGGCGTGGCGGCTGCATGCCGCAGAGCCTGTGGGCGGTGCAGGCACTCAGGACCCTGCGGACCTGGCTCCCCCTCCCCGTCTCTCCTTCATTGCTGTTCCTCCCTGACCCTTAGTGCTGGCCAGGGTGGCACCCACAAGTGTGTGGGGTGATGGGGCACATTCAACAGGATTCGTGTAGGCTGGGTGTCACACAGGGCGCCTGGCCTGTCTTGTAGGAATTTATGGCCACTGCCTGCCACCTGAGGGGAGAAGCCTTGGTCCCTTCTGGTAGGTTGGTACAGATGGATGTCACCCAGGGGATGTCCTGGTCACTCAGGATAGGAAAGGGCTGGTGGCTGCTCTGCCCTGGGCAGGGGGTGGCTTGTGCTGTGTCATCCTCCACTGTCCCCCTGGAGCAGGGCTCCTGGGTGTCCCGAGTTTCCACAGGCCTGGGCCCACCGAGTCACACGGACCCAGTTTGGTGCCAGTCCCTGAGCCTCAGTTGCCTAATCTGGGAAGGGGGAATCCAACCCCTCATCCACAGACCTACTGTGGGGGCTCAGCAGCAGGTGAGGGGGAGCAGTGGGGGCCGCGGCAGCCATTTCTTTTTCTTTTCTCCTCTCTTCTTTTTTTCCTTTTTTCTGGTGTTTAATAAGTTCTTGTTTAATTAGTGACCACTCATAACAAACCTACCATCTCGCTAGAGTTCTGTACAATTTTTCCATTTTACAGACGAGCAAGCTGAGTCCCAGAAGGGCAGAGTGACAGGTCACAAGAAAGTGAGTGCTGAGTGCTCCTGTCCTGAGCGTTCAGCTGAGAGTGCGTGGCACAGGCTGGCCTTCGCTGGGCAGACAGGGCAGCTGGCTGCAGGGGGAGAGACCCCAGGGTTCCCTGGGCAGGCCTCCTTCCCAGGGGCCAGTGAGGCCCAGGCCCAGCCCCGCTGGCCGGGGTAGCCAGTAAGCCCAGAGCAGCGTTACAAGCAGCAAGTGGCTCTGGAGGGAGGACCAACTTTGTCGCTCCCGGGTCCTGGAACGCCAAGGGGGAACTGTGCCTTCTATTGGCTTTTCCTGTCACGTGCCCCGTGGGCATGAGGATGGGCAGCTCCCGTGTGTCTTTGCTGTTTGTCACCTCCCAGCAGTGCTGGATTCTTTCCTCCTCCTGTCCTCTTTCCACATATTGGCCCTTTCCCGGTTTGGGCATCAAGTTATGCTGGTTTCATAAAAGATGATGGGGAGTGTCTGTCTATTTCTGTTCTCTGGAAGAGTTTATGCCTTGGAGGTTTTGCTAGAACTGGCCTTTA